CACACACACACGCACAAAAAAAAAAACACACACACACAAGAACACACACACACACAGACGCACAAGCCTTACATACGCCACGCACGTTGCCGAGTACACGTACATTGCATAAGCATGCTTGCATTCTTGTCTAGATAGCAAGACGATTACGGCCTACAATATGTGCATTACATACAGGCATGTTAGGAACCTCGGGGGAGGGTAGCCCTAATCCAAACCCTCCAGGTACCTTTTATATAGGGCCCTTGGGGCACAGAAATATATTAGGAACCTTTGGGGCTCAGGGTGAAGTTCGACAGTGGCCACGCAAGCCCCCAGGTCTCCTCGAGCGGCTGCGTCGGTCGCGGTCGCGGTCACGGTCCTTCTCTTTGTCCTGCGAGTTTCGAGCTTCCTTGCAAGGCTACTATTAGGGTTTAGGGTTTAGGCTAGGGGTTTGGGGTTTAGGTTAGGGGTGTAGTGGTTTAGAGTTTAGGGTTTTAGGGTTTAGTATTACTACGCTTATTAGTAATCCTACTATTGCCATTACTAATATTATTGCGATCATGATCATGATGATTATTACTGTTGCTGTTATCACGAGTATTCTTGTTTCTCTAGTGCTATGAGGATGCACAGATTTCTAGAAGGGTTACCTCAAACCTAAACCCTAAACCCTAAACCCCTCAACCCTACGCCCTAAACCTTACACCCCTCAAACCTACACCCTAAACCCCTAAACCCTAAACCCTAAACCATAAACCCGGTCCTTTTTCGACTTCTTGGCCGTCTGGCCCAGGTACTCGGGATGGTCGTCGTACATCTGCGGGTTCGAGGCCGTGGTTCAGGGTAAACAACCACAGGCTCCATAGTAGTTCCTTTTGGGGTTTAGGGTTTAGGGGTTTAGGGGTTTAGGGGTTTAGGGGTTTAGGGTTTAGGCTTTAGGGTTTAGGGTTTAGGGTTTAGGGTTTAGGGTGAAGGATCCTAAATACATTGTAGTTCCTTTGTGGGAGTACCTTCAAGGATCCTAAATACAGTGTAGTTCCTTTTTGGGAGTACCTTAAAGGATCCTAAATACAGTAGTTCCTTCTTGGGAGTACCTGAAAGGATCCTAAATACAAAACACAGAAGGAACTACTATGGAGCCTTTGGGTAGGCTTCGCTTGCAGTGATTAGGGGTCTTAAAAACCCCGAAACCCTGAAAAACCACCAACAAGAAACACCGAAAAACAACACAACCTACAAAACCGAACAACCCTAAACCCCAAAAAAAAAACAAACCCAAAACCCCTAAACCCCAATCTGCCGTTTCAACCTGAAACTTCGGACCGGACAGCCATGGGTTCCGCATGGGCAGCCGTACCCAAGGGTTCAAAGTGACCAAGAATTTGGGGTTTAGGGTCGAAGGTTTAGAGTTTTGAATTTAGGGTTTAGGGTTTAAGGTTTGGGGTTTAAGGTTTAAAGGTTTGGGGGTTTAGGGTTTGGGGCTTAGGGCCCTTTGGACCCTAAACCCTGCACCTCGGTATCTGACCAGCATGAAAATGTTATCAGGGTATAGTTTAGGCGTTTCGGGTTTAGGGTACAGCGTTTAGGAAAAGGGTTTAGGGTTAGAAGTGGGGTAACTGGTGTTATAGCCCATATTAGGGAACTTATAACGCCACTTATAACTACCCATGAATCTCCCTAAACGCTAAACCATATAGAGCCCTGAAAGGTACCCACGAACCTCCAAGTAGAAGTAGCAATGCAATAGCTGATCAAAACTCTCGAACCCCTGTACCCTGGAGGCGGAGTTCGGCTTTGGATATTAAGCTTGTTTTCGCCTCTTGCACATTAGGGTTTAGGGTATTGTGGGGCTTATTCGGCTAAACTGTGAAGATTAAGGCTGAGGGTTTGGGGTTTGGGGTTTAGGGCGACCGGGGCTGGGGTTTATGTTTTAGGTTGGCCTTTGAAGAATGAGTTGATGAGGGTGGTAAATTGGGGTCCATTTGGGGTCCTTTTATAGGGTGCCGTACTATTACCCTAGTTTTTTCCAGAACTACCCACGTAGAATATGCAGACAACCATCATCTATCAAGGTCCAGATTAAGGTAAATCCTGACACGGCGCACAGGATGGAGAAGGCTTTATGCTCCACACATCCCACATGCCCTGCAGGAGTAAGCAACAAGCCCGAAAATGCTGACGGCTTCTTTCGTATTCCAGAGATAGGCCCTCTGACACTTGCTCCTCGGCAAATTTCGACTTTAGAATGTTTGGAGCGTTTAGGGTTTAGGGTTTAGGGTTTCCAAAAGAGGTGGTCCATCTAAACGATCCTGTCTTTGCAACTACACTAGAAGCTTTTCTGACTGCGGCACTTTACAAGCGCCAATACTTGAAATGAAAACCCTGAACCTCACCTTAGCCTACCATGACCTACTTTTTGGAGGGTCGACATAGGCTCTACATGCGAACTTACAATAAAGTCCTACAACAAGTAGGCTCGTTCGCTTCGACAGATGGCCTCTCGCACCACGCGCCGCTTGATTGCTCGCGGAATGTGCTTGATGTGCATGAAGTTGCCTACATGGAGTGCCCGGCCTTCCCCCGAACTTAAATTCGGGCTTTAGGGTTTAAGATTTAGGGTTTAGGGTTTAGGGTTTAAATTCGGGCTTTAGGGTTTAAGATTTATGGTCTAGGGTCTACGATCGTGATGCAGGCCTTCACAAGGATGTCTGGAATTTAATCCTCCATGGAGTTCGGCTACCATCTCATTCCGCGTATGCCCGTGAGGCTCTATGTCCAGGTGCTTAAAGCTCAAACGTTAAACGGTGTAGCATGGTCCTTGATGAGGCGGGATGCTGCATCTCTTGGCTACCCTTTAAGGAATCCAGCCGGCACAGTTGTGCCGACTGCCTCGTAACTATACAACCCCTCAGCATCGTATCGTTGCTTTTCAATTATGTCCCAGATATGAAGCGATTGGGGAAACATGATTGAGGAGTCGAGGCAGGTTTATGGAGAGCTGCGCGAGGGCTTTGCAAGGCCTCTCCGTGACTTTGCTGCGACATCACGATTCTTCAAGCAGCAGCTTGATTCAAATCACACTTGCCCTGAACCCCAAACCCTGAAGCCCTGAACCCTAAACCCTAAAGCCCTGAACCCTAAACTCCGAGGCTGTAAACAGTCGGCTGGGAAGCTCACGCCGTCCCAACTTGTCCAGTAGACTAGGGGCACCAAAGGTTCATCTTCGGAAAAATAGGGGTCAGAGTAAGGATGTTGAGGGTTGTCTAACTCTACTACCCAGCTGAAGAGAGAACGAACTGTCTCCTGAGACCCACGCACAGAGAGCAAGAATTGCATGGGATATCAATGAATCCTATGGATCCTACGCCATACACAATAGACACAGAAACCCTAAACCCTCAATCCTAAAACCTGAGCCCTAAACCCTAAGCCCTAAACCCTAAAACCTAAACCCTCGACCCTAAAACCCCAAACCCTAAACCCCAAAACCTAAACCCTCAACCCAAAACCCCAAAACCTAAACCCTCAACCTTAACATCCTAAAGCCTAAACCCTCAACAAAAAAGAAACCCAGGGCCGCAGACCTAAAGCCGAAACTGAAGCCAAGTGCTAAGCTCCAGAGCTCCTGGGCCCAAAACCCTCGGGCCACCAGAAGCAGGTAGGATTTAGGGTTTAGGGTTTAGGGTTTGGGGTTTAGCGTTTAGGGTTTAGCGTTTAGGGCTTTAGGGTTTTAGGGTTTAGGGTTTTTGTTAGGGGATTTAATGTAAAGTTACCATAAGAAAGAAACCCAATTATTTACTTTTGATCCGTTGTTAGGGGATTTAATTAAAGTTACCATAAGAAAGACACCTTATCATTTAGTATAGACCCGCATTGTGGTAACATATAAATAAAATCCTTTAACAAGAACCCAAGGAAACTGAAACTTGTGAAGCACACATTGCGGCTTAGGGTTTTCTGAAGAATCCTACCAGAAAGGGCTTATGTCTAAGCCTTTTCACCCTTAGATTTCTAAGCTTGCGGCGCCAAGGCATCCGAGTGGCAATAAGCTCCACGGTTGCAGCGCGTCTCGTGGAACCTCGGCTGTTTGGAAAGTGCTCTACTACCGAGACCTTGGCGCAGAGAACTCTGAGGCTCCGACGCTCGGCAGCGCGCCTCGCGGAAATCGGAGACCGTCGTGTACTCGGCCTTCGGTTCGGGTGTTCAGCGCGGGTTAGGGTTAGGTTTAGGGTTTAACTTAAGCCCGAAGAACCTACCTTTTCAAGGACTTATCATGATAAGGAACCCTAAAAAGGTTGGTTCTTTAGGGTCCAGGTAGGGCTTAATCCGGTTCAATGCTTTTCTTCGTGCACCTTCGCGCAATCGCATAGAGCATAAAGGCAAGATTCATATATCTGGCCTGTATTGCAAGAAGGGCCCCTAAAAGTAAGGTCATGATATCTGGCTTATATAAGAAAGAGCCCCAGAGACAGCTCTCTACCATAATCGGGATCTATAGTAGATGATATGGTTTCCTTATTATGGTAGCTTAGATTAAATCCCTTTACAAGAACCTAGGTTTAGGGGTTTAGAGGTAGCTGGGCAAGCACCCCAAACCTCGTAAGCTGCAATACGGGGAGGGAGGCTCTGCAAATGAGTGTTGCTTTGCTAGGTTGGGTTTAGGGTTTAGGGATTTGGGTTCAGGGTTTTGGGTGGTTTAGGGTTCCAGGTTAAGGGGTTTGGGGTTTAGGGAAAAGTAGAGGGACCCCAACTCAAAGAACACCCCATATGCAAAAGGAAAAAAAAACTGGAAGCAATCATACTAGCCTGAAGTACCACGCCGCGTCAGTCAGCGATTGCAACCCTAACATTTGAACCGTAGCTCGGCTGCCTGGATGAGCTTGCCGCTGTAGAAACGACCTTTGGCCGGCACAGATGCTCACACTAAACCCTAAACCCTAAACCCTAAACCCTAAACCCTAAACCCTAAACCACCGGACCTGTGCTTTCGACAGTACTCCCTTCAGAAAGAGCCGTAGGCTTCAACAGCGTTTTTTGTAGATATGGCGCTTGCTCAGTGGGCAGTTCGAGGGATCCCAATACAGAGAATCACCCGAATAGGGGGGTTGAGGACTACAGATCGGGCATGGCTTAAGTGAGGTAGGGACTGGACATCCGACTCTTAGGTTGAGGCCCCAAGCCCAGAACCTTGGTAGAGTATTTTTTCAAAAAGAAACCCTAAACCCATGAACCCGAAACCCTGAGCCGTAAAGCCTACCCTACAGCCCAAATTGCTGTAAGAAATCTTAGAAAACCCGAAGCCCCTAAGCTTTACCTAAACCCTAATTAGAAGGCTTCGTGGTGGTGACGGCTTGGGGTCTCGAGGATGCTTCAAGGTCTTATGGTACTGCGTGTCGTGGGGTGGTGTCATACCCTCGAACACATCGGGCCGTGATAGTTAGAATAGGGTTTTGGGGATGGAGTATGTTGGGTTTACAATAAGGAGCCCTAAGGAATGACAATGGGCATTTTTCCAGGACCCTTTATTACAAACTTCATGGCTGTTCGAGGATCCAGGGCTCAAAAGGCAATTCCTTATCCGACTTAGGCCCTAAACCCTATACCCTAAACCCTAAACCCCGTAAACCCCTAAACTCTAAACCCTAAAACCCTAAACCCCTAAACCCCGAAGCCTTTAAACCCCGCTATAGTCTCCATTGTAGCTTCTTGTTGGGGTTACCTTAAGCTTAAAAAAAGGAGCTACAACGGAAACTGTGGGAAGTGAGGGTTACGGGGCAGGATTTTCCGGGTTTAGGGTGTTTGGGTTCCCAGGGTCTCCAACGTGATGGACCTATGGAACTCCGAAGAGAAACACTTAATAAAGGAACTTTAACAATGTTTGAATTAGAATAGGGTTTTGGGGTGTATTATACTATAACTACGATAAGTAACCCCCAAAATAGTATAGGTGGTTAGGAAGGCCCCTGTATTATGCCTCCTGGGGGATACAACAGGTCCGGGCTTCTGGCTTGAGGTTTAGGATCGTTTCAGAATTGAATATGAGTGCTTGAATCATTAGACTAGCATTTTTGGGTCTGGTAATATGCGATATGGATGCCAGGATCTGTTAGGAGATGCTCTTTCCCAAACCGTTCCGACCCCTGTGTTGTATGGAACCTCCTGACATCTCGGTTCTGTGCCGTTGGCCGCCCTTGCCTTGCAACTCCAGTTCATCTAGCTCGTTTCCACACATGCCGTGATCCTCTCCTCTGAGCAATCTTGCTATAATCGCAAGTGTAGTCAAATCCACTAGCATCTGCTTTGTAACTCTCCACATTTGTGCTGTCTTGGATGATCTGAGCTGGTGCTTCTTGCCAGAATGTCCCTGCCACTGAATTTGAAGTGGGCCGCTTTCCGCCGAATACTGCCGCAATCAGATCAAGATCAATTTCTGGAAATGGTAGCCGACCGCCACTTACTCTCGACCTGTCGCATTATTCTCTAGAGCTCCGAATAGCTCATTGCTGAGACCACAACACTTTCGCTCGATCCCCACTCTCTAGTCTCAGAGCGCTGACTTGAACAAGTTCTGACATATCACAGATCCTACTATTCCGTCCATAAGGACCACTGAAAGAAGATTCTACTCTAACATCGCCTGCACCTAAACTCCAGGACATCCGGAACCCTAAACACTAAGCCCTGAGCCCCTTTAAGCGTGAAGACCAAACCCTGACTGAGTCCTCAGCAAAACCTAAGTTCTACCCACTCTGAACACTGCACACTCTAAACTAAGCCATGAAGGCCCCCAACTCTCAAACCCAAGCTTCACCCTCAACCCTTAAACCCCTTGAGGCGTGCCACCCGTCAGCTTCATCAACGCTCTTTCGGCATCCTCTTCGTGGTAGTACTTCACCTGGCGTGTTAGCGGGCTTGGCTTCTTGTTAAATGGGATTAGGGGGGTCCGGGGTTGAGGGTTTAGGGTTGAGGGCTCAGGGTTGAGGGATCTCTGGCTTCCGTTGCAGGGATTGGGATTTGTTTAGGGTTGAGGATTTAGCCTTCCAGGCTTCACCACGGAGCCTAAACTGCAAAAAACGACGACTCCATGTTATCCTTATTCCAATTTGCACCTTTGCTTGCGGATCTAGACCTGAAGCCAGAGAATATTCCTTAATCCAGGGCTCTTGGAGTCTCTGAGATTGCAGAATCATGTAGGCGTTAGGGCCTAGTGTGTGAGCCGTAGGGTTTAGGCTTTAAGGCTTAAGGGTTTACCTTCACGGCTTCTAGGCCTTAGAAGCCTTAGGCTTCAGAAGGTTGGGGGACCTTTTTTTCCACAATGCACGGTCGCTGAGCCCTAAGGCTTTAGGCTTCCCAAGCCCGGAGCCCGCGCGCGGGGAAATGTGAGAAAAGAGATCCACCCCTAGGTCGCCTGTACGGCACGGTTCATGTCAGGCATGGGCCGACGAACCCTGCAGGCAGAGTCATGCAAAAAAAAAATTCGTGGCCCGAGGATCCGTTCACGATCCTCTTTGGGCGGGGCCGACCACGGCCTGAAGCTAGGGAACGTCCACCTTCAATACCAGCCGGTTCCTTAGCAGCCCGGCTCGGACTTGCAAAGCTAGACTCCCAGATCTAGCAGCTTAGATCCCAAAAAGCCTAAACCCTAAACCCCAAACCCCAAAAGCCTAAACCCTAAACCCCAAACCCCAAAAGACTAAACCCTAAACCCCAAACCCCAGAAGCCTAAACCCTAAACCCTAAAACTAAGCCCCAAGGATTCCCAAACCCAAAGCAAGGACCCCTAAACCCCTAAACCGCAAGCTGCAAAGCATGAAAGTCCTGCCTGCGAAACCTTTCAAAATTACCTCAATCGAGCCTAGTTTAGGGTTTAGGGTTTAGGGTTACTTTGGTTATGCATCCTTATTATACTAATCCCCAGACACGAGACATGCTCGTGCAAGCCTGAAAGGAGGCTCCCAGTAACCTTTAGCTGTTAATGAGCATTCACTGTTCCTCTGGTTCAGTAGGGTTTAGGGTTTAGTTCTAGTTCTACTGGTGAGACACCATGAAAAACGCACACACACACACATCGGACTGGCGGGGATGTAAGAAAGGTCCTGACCCTAAACCCTAAGGTCACAAACCTAAACCCTAAACCCTAAGCCCTAAACCCTAAACCCTAAACCCTAAGCCCTCAACCCTAAACCCTAAACCCTATAGACCCTATAAGCCCTAAACCCGAAGCCCAAATGAGACAGAGGCAAGGTTCACTACCAGGCCGTCCGCGTGGTGCCGGATCTCCGGGGACTTGTGGACCAAGCCCTTCGGACCACAAGGAAACTTCTTGCCTCAGATTAAGGCTTGGGCTTTAGGGGTTTGGGGGATCGGGGTGATAGAAGTTTAGGATTTTCGGGTGTAGGGGGTTGAGTTTTTAGGGCTTAGGGCTTTAGTTTTTTGTTTGAACTCCTTTTTGGGCGCCTGCCCGATCCTCCAAGCAAATCCAAGGCGCCTATGCGTTTAGGGTTTAGAGTTTGGGGTTTATCGTTTTATGGTTGAGGCAGGTAACAGCGAGGTAAGATATTTCGGAGTAACTGAAAGCAGTGACAACACAAGATGCAATTCGCCTTAGGTCAATCTCGCGCCGACTGAAACAGATGGGTAACCAGTTCTCTAAATTACGGGTACCTTTTGGGGTCCTTTTTAGCGGGCGCCGCACTAGATTGGGGACCCCAAAATGGGACCCTAATTTAACGAACTAGCCACATGCATATCTTTGGGAAGGAGGTGGGGCGGGGTATGTATTCTGTTCTTGGGATCCTCTTTGCAGACCTAGGCTGCCCTTCATGAAGAAGACATCCGCCACCCCCACAGAGCACACTTGGGATTCATCCTTGATGATTTTGTCGTTGCAGCCACAGTAATCCAGCTCCCAGAAGTTGACGATGTCATCTGGTGCATACACCGTACCGACCGAGTTGTACGTGACGATGGCCCTCGCGCAGTAGTTGTCGCGGTGCCACCTGCTGCAGCAATTCTCCCCCATGACTTCGATCTTGAAGATGAGTGTGTCGCTCCATGGGCACAAGCTAGCCACCACGTTGCCGATGTCAATCACATCGCGGCGGATGCTGCTGCGTAGATCCTCCGGAAGCTTCATTCTGACCATCTTCAACAAGGCATCTCCAACCTGGGTTCTTGCTATGGGACTTAGATAGGTGTGTATACATACATGTATATATATATATATACACACACGCATACAGCTGCATACATATAATTCTACATCCAGCTGCTGCCATCAAAGAAACCATGTTGCCTACGATATGTCCCTAGCATGGTAACTTTTCATCAAGTCCCATAAATAACAGGTTCTGACAGCTTCTCGAGGCCACTATGATACCTTAAATCAAGTCCTGTAGGGGCCTTCATAGCTAGGAATCGGGTATTGGGCTCCTTCGTAGTAGAATCATAATAATCAGGAACCTTAAGAATAATACTGGAAATGATCTAGGCTTCTATATGAACCCGTAAGCCTGGCCCCAGCAACCTCTGCGAGATCGACGGAGCCCTTCTTGACTTCAATCTTCATCTGATCCTCCTCTCTGATGTCTCCTTGGTCCGTCTTAGGAATATAGGGTTTAGGGTTTAGGTGACGGTTTGGGGTTTGCAGGTATGACTTCTTGGGCATGTTTAGGAATAGGGTTCAGGGCTCAAGTGACAAGTTGGCGTATCGGGTTGGGGCATGTTGGGGGGTCTTGGAGTTGGAAACAAGGGATCCTTTTGATAGCTGACCATGTCTCCCTGCTTGCGCCTCCTCTATTTTCCATGTCTCAGGAAGCCCAAACCACAAAAACCAAAAGGGATCTTTACCCCCCTATATACCCTAAACTGTAGATCCTAAACACTATGTAAGACCATGTCTCCCTGCTTGACGGCTTCATCCAAGATCGCTTGAAAGTCCTTCCAGGAAGGCTTTCTCCTGGGTCGAAGTTGGGAAAGTTGGTTTGGTGGTTTAGGGTTTGGTTTAAGTTTCCATGACATGGATCTGTGGCAGGTAAAACAGCATGAGCTTCGTTGTTACGGTCACTTACAGGAAGATCCTCCCTAAACCCTAAACCCAGCTTAAGAGGAGCCCAGTCTCTCAACAAGGAGGGCCTGATGCAGAGAGCTCTCTGGCAGAAGGAAGTCAGCGAGTGTCGAGCCCACCAGCACGGTCGAAGAAGTTGCCTTCGTCTTTGTCGGCTCCTGGGATCTTAATGTGGATTTTGGGGTTTAGGGTCTAGGGTTTAGGGTTTAGGGTTGGCTCTTACACGGTTCAAGAAAACCACATAATAATTTCCTACCGATCCCTGTGCTGGTAAGTTGATGTCTAACAAGAACCCAGACTCAGCCAGCTTCGCTCGCTTTACGGGGTCGGACGTGACCACGTCCAGTGGCGCTAAGATGCGCGGGCCTCCAAATAGCAAACCCTAGAAAGCGGATTAAGGACAATTAGTGCTGGGATTCACTACACATTACTCTTAAGGATTGAGGCTAATGGGTTTCCAACTTTTGAGCTTCTACTGTAATATAGAAGCAAATTAGAATAGGGTTCCTTTGAAGTGTTCCTACAAAGGTGTCTAGAAGGGCTCGGAAAGGGGGGGTTAATAACCAGAACAAGGCTTTGGCATATACTATAGTACACTTCTAGTAAGGTGCCATAATGGATAGTGTTGTATTCAGGCCTCCATAGCCGCCCAGGGCATTCGTCTCGGTGACTACCTGGGGGCTTTAGAAATAGTGGACCCTACGATAGAACCCAAATAGTCGGACCCTGCTCATCACAAGGACCCCTGAATACAGTATTCAATTTTAAGAGACCCTGCTGAGCGCATATAATATAGCACCCTCAACAGGAACCTTCAAAGGACCTTAGTCAAGCCTTAGTCTTCGGAGAAACCCCCACCTCCATATCGGTCCAGGAAAGCCCAGGCGCGCCACTCAGATGTCGACCCGTTAGCGGAGCCGAAATGGCTAAGAGGGTTCATACAGCGGCCATCATGATTAGAATAGGGCTACAACGGTTACCTGTAAACTACAAGTGTAATTATCGTAAGGAACCGTAAGGAATCATATTCATCATTATTCAGGTTTCTTTGGGCCAAAAAGATTACAAGCAGAATAGGAATGGGAATAGACTCGCATCCACAGCACAATCTTTCCTTTTCAGGAGAATCCAAAGTACATGGCACATAGCAGCAGAAAGTATAGCATACCAGACCCTGCACCTTAAACCTAGACTCTACACCCTAAGCCCTGTAAAATAAACCATACGCGCGACTCGCTGGAGGGATCCGCCATCCGCCCTCCAGATCGCCACTTCACAAACTCGACCTACACCCGCAGCACCCCTTGCAGAACTTTTTGGAGGAACCCTTACAGCCTTATTCTCACAGTTCATCATAGGGACCCTTGAAGGGGTAGGAGGGAGTAGGGGCCTTCAATACCAGTAATAAGGACCTAACAAGGCCCAGTTAAGGAAGAAGAGTCCCCTGGAGCAGACCCTTTCTGCCAAGCCTTCCTAAGCCCCATGCCACCCAAACTGCGTAAACCCTAAACTCTAAAGCCCCTACCCCCTAAACACCTGGAACCCCAACTAAAACCCCTAAACCCCTGAACCCCCAAACCTGAGACACCCTAAACTCCTGGACCCCAAACTAAAAAACCCTAAACTCCTGAACCCTAAACTCCTGGACCCCAAACTAAAAAAACCCTAAACTCCTGAACCCTAAACTCCTGGACCCCAAACTAAAAAACCCTAAACTCCTGAACCCTAAACTCCTGGACCCCAAACTAAAAACCTAAACTTCTGAACCCTAAGGGCCCTAGACCCTTCAATGCATATCTGAGGATCTAGGGCTGAATACTTCGAGATCCTAGGCACTCGAGAGCCTTCGCAGGGCGTAGGGTCTAAGGCTTAAGTACTTATGGGGCTTAGCGTTTCAGTTTTTTTTATTTTTTATAGGGTCTAGGGTTAAATTTGTTTGATAGGGTTTAGGGTTTAAGTTTTTCTTTTTTTACAGGGTTGAGTTTAGGGTTTAGGTTCTTACGTTGTTTAGTGCTGAGGTTCTTATATGGTTTAAGCTTTATCCAGGGTTCTGGTTTGATATGAGTTGATCGGAGCCCTCGAAAGGTGGGATGAAGGTAAGTAGGATTGAGGAAACCTCAAAATATAAGTATGTATATATATATAAATAAATAAGGACTCCTATTATTTGGGACTACCCCACCTGGCTTCATCCCACCCTTGAAACCCCTTGAGGTAGAAACATGCCGGTTCCGACATAGACGTTGCCGATCATGTGGTCGCATAGATTATCTACCACCACCAAGTCCTCACGAGGGATGATCCTGAAACATCCTGAGGCTGCCTTAATGCGCCCTGCCTAGCAGGAGGTACTACATGGGGCCATCTAGCTAGACCAGTTGCAGGGGGCAGGGGATGCGTCGCGCGGCTAAGTTGGTCCCTTGTAGACACTACTCGGACCTGAGATGAGGCAAGGCAGAAAGAACAAGCACCGATGGACTCTTGACAGCGACCTGGCTCGGAGGGTTAGATCGGACCTGAAGCATTGAGGACTCAAGCAAGATTACATCGCCGTCGTTACCTGAGCTTGCCCTGATTGTAAGGCACGAATCAAGCATAAGTGCTTTGCAAGCACGGATCCGATGCCGTGGCCCTCACCTACATGTTGTTCCCTTGTGCGCAAGACGAAGGACAGCAAGCACTTGAAGAATCAACATGGGGAGGTCTTTCAAATCTATGGTCTTAAAGCATGGTGCGCTCAAGGGTCGAGGTCGTTGCTTTCTCTGCTGTGCTTGCCCTGCTTGGAAGGCTTGGTCTCGACCGGGGCTGCGGCTATCAGAATACAATCCTGGGTTCTTGTTAAGGAAGTTAACTTAAGTTACCATAATAGGGCCTGTCGGACTGCCAATCGGGTGATGGGCAAGCGCAGTCTTCGTCGTCGTAGTCTTAATCATCGTAATAGTCTTGCTATAAGTCATACTAAACGATAGTAGCCATAGAAACAACAGACATGATGATAAGTCATGATGAAAGGACCAGAGCTTGTGGTGTCGACTCGAAACTTCTTAATTAATTCGGGTGGCTACGGCGTGAGGCTTGATGAGCAGCGTCTTTCTCGTTAATCCATCAGGCCGGAGCGCTTCGGATGTAGGGCTAAACTGCAACCCTAAAACCCTAAAACCCT